AAGCGGTGACGACGCCGGGCAACCGATCGACGCGTCAAATTCGGGGAAAGAAGGCCCTTGTCACATACTGCAGCAGAAGGGCCACGAAGACGAAGCAGTTGCCGCCGAAGAAGCAGTTGCCGCCGAAGAAGCAGTTGCCGCCGAAGGAGCGGTTGCTGACGAAGCGGAACTGCGGGGCACAGTGGAACGGAAGAAGCCCACAAAACCGGACTCCAGAAGGGCCGCAAAGACAGGTCGGAAGCGGAAGGCAACGCCATCGCCCTCAGAGAGCAATACAGGGAGCCTAAGTGCTGCATTGGCCGAGAAGTCTGAGAGCGGTTTGCCACACGGAAGCGCCCACGCTCATGCGGGGACGCGGGATCCGGTGGCCTCCTCTTATTTTGTGCATTCTCCACCAGGGTCAGCGGGCCACAGTGGAGGCACACGATTGGCGGCAGCTGCCGGGGCAGTGGGGAAATCGACGTCCAGGGCAGGACCGTCGCCGACGTTCCCGAGCAGCAAACGCGGGGTGGGTGAGGTGGGAGACGCGGCGTCTGCGGTTCAATCGCCCGACGGCGCAGTTGCTCCTGCCAAACGGATGGTGACGACTGAAGCACGCAGGCAAGCCGAGAAGGGAACAGCAGAAGAGCGTTTGCATTCAACACAAGGGGGGGAAGCAGCGCAATCTTCCTTGACTCGGGCTCGCACGACGAATCCACGCCCTAGCGGCGACAATTTGGCTGACGCAGCTTTTGAAAGTCGGCGAGCCTCAAAGCGTGCCTCTGATTTCACAAGCAGCGCGGGTGAACCCAGGGGTGATGCAGGCTCCCCAGCGGAACTTTGGTATGACGACGTGGTAACACAGGCAACGACCAGAGACGCCTGTGAACGCGTAAACTTGCGTTTTCCAGCACGGCGGCTCACAGAGGCCAACATGCCCCACTCCAAAACCAATGATGAAGCACAGGCATTGGAACAGGAAAGCAAGATGAGGTACCAGCCGGTTGAAACGGATGAGCTTGAAATTGTGCGCTTTCCCAGGGTAATGAGGTCATCCTTGCATGGCTCTCTCGCAAGTCACAGCAATAGCGCTTCTAACAGGAACGGTGATAACCATGGCAATAGCAGTTCTTCTCAGTCTTCTGGGAGCCGCGGTTATGAAGCAGGTTACGCTGTTGAAAATCCCGCTTCTCCCACTCTGACCAAGAAGGGTCGGGCACTGCTTGGGATCCTTGGGGACACTGTACTACAGGACGACGCTGTTCTGCAAGAACACGTGCGTGTCGCGAGTGCTGGACCAATTCGAAGGTCCTTGAGATCCGCAGGGAGTGGCGTGCCGGCGCCCCCACTCGGCGCCAGAAAGTCCAAACGAGGGAAGAAGGGGATAGTGGGGGAAGAAGCAGCGGGGGAAAAAGTAAAGGGAGAGGAAGAAAAGGGTGAGGAAAAAGAAGCAGTTGAGGTGGAGGAGGAGGAAGAAGAAGAAGACGACGACGAAGAAGAGACGGAGGACATTGTTGCCCTCCTTCGGTGGCTTGCTGACCTGCGTGAAAAGAGGCTCCTCACCCAAGACCGTTTTCGTAGAGCTGTCGAGTGCATCCGGGTGAACACCAAGGTTCCATTCTTCCTGTGTGAGGGAAGCAGAGCGGGGGAGGCCCCAACTTTGATGGTGCGTTTGCCACAAACCGCCGATGAGGCCGTCACCGTCCCCCTGCTTGGAGCCCCGTTGAACATGGGAGAAGTGAGGCAACGCGGCGAGGAGGAAGGCGGCTGCGGCCTCCACCCCCAACGAGAAGGCTTGAACGTTGTGAGAGGTGTCGCCAAAACTGGTGCAGAGTCTAGTCGGCAGAAGTTGCCGTGGGTGCAGAAGACGTCCAGTGGTGAAGCGGGGGAGGCAGATGCGATGCGGCGGTACGCAGGTCCGGTTCGAACCCTGCATAATGGCGTGCCACTGCTCCCCGTTATACAGGACAAACTTCAACGCGGCCACTTCCAGGAGAACATTGAGGCATCGCTGTCAGTGGGAACCGCAAACAAATATATGTCGTGCCCTCAGTCACCGCTCGAGGGGCGTGGCGTTCTCAGGGTGTCCAGTGGTCAACCTTTAGCGGGCGTGTCTGATTCAATTACGGGGCCACTGCCCGGGAGTAACGCGCAACAGGCCTCCTCCCTCCATGAGTCCGTCCGAAGGGCTCGTCAAAGTCTTCTGACAGCCTTCGACCCCGCAATGCCGAAAGAAACTTCACCCTACAACAAGACGCCAAGGACGGCTGCATTCATAGCTGTTGGCACAAAGAATTTCATGGCGTAATTTTGCAAGTGCCGTCATGCTGGAACTCTCTCGTGGTCTGTTTATTTGTCTGTTCCTCGGTGTACATGTGAAGAGCAACGTAAAATGTTATTTTTTTTTTCGTTGTTTTTTTCTTGCTTTACTCTTTTAAATTGTCATCGCAAGCGGTGAGGCGTTGACGAAGATTCCTGTGAAAAAAGAAGGCGGGCTTTATTTTTTGTAGTGTTTGCAAAGTCGTCATTATCGCCTACTCCAAAGCGAAGAAAACACAACAACAACAAAAATGTTCTTTAGACGTGTTACTTGTGTTTGAAACTGCTCGTTGTGTTTTTGTTTTTTTCCCCCTCCTTTGGGCTTATTCATTTCTGCCGTTGCGGCGTCTGCACGAGGAGGCTTCTTGTTTTGGCCGCTACCGCGGGTTTTATCCAGGTAGTGTAGGGAAGTCGGGCAGCGGCGATGGACGTCCTGGAGCTGCTCTCAGTTGCGTACAATGGGGGCAAAGAGGAGCGCACGGCGGCAACGGCGCAGTTGGAGGGCGCAATAAAATCTCCCGATGGCCCGCGGCTTCTCGTGACGCTATTGCGGGCGGGAACGGATCCGGCGTTGCCGGCGGGGCAAAGCCTTTCCGCGCTTATCTACGCCAAGAATTGCATTATGGAGACCTTGGACGATGAGCAGTTCTCCGCCGCCCCTGGCGTGTTGGAGGAAGTAAAGTCCCTCCTTTACAACGGCGCCTTCCACGTGCCGTCGACGCATCAGAAGATTATCCACACCTGCGTGGCCAGCATCGTCAGTTCCTTTCAGTGGAATTATCTTCCGCAGCTTATGCCGGAGATCAGCCGGGAGAGGGCAGGCGTTACCGTTGAACACGCCATGGCAGCATTGGGTATGTTGTACGTCTTCGTCAAGAGGTTTAAGACCCCAGGACTGGAGCCGCTGCCTATGAAGCTCACGGTTTGCAGCTGTCTTATTTCGGCCCTTCCCTCGTTTCTCTCGTACGGGGAGCCGCAGGTGGACCACATTGTGCTGAAAATTATGAACGGCGTTGTGGAGACGGCGCTGCAGGGAAATAAAGCGCAAGCCCTCCCCGCGGAGGCGCTGGATGCGTGGTTCCACGAGATGGCCCAGTATCCGGAGCGTCACTTTGTCTCGGCCTCTGGGGCAGCGGCGAGCGGGTCGCAGAAGGCGTACGAGGCATATGTTGGTTGCCTCAAACAAATTGCCATGATTTCTTTTTCTGTGTTGAACGATGCAACAAGGAAGAAGAATCCCGCGCCTGTTGCCAAGCGCTTTCTTGCGGCGCATGCTTCAGCCTTTCTTGGAGTGTGGCAAAGGTGGTTGAAGTACGCCTCGACCTCTAGAGAGCGTGACGGAAACCGCAAGGCTGACATGTACGCCATACGCTATATCAAACTCTGCGCCTTGGACAAGACGCTTTATCAGCAGTGTCTACTCCCGCAGCTGATGCCCGTGGTTGAGTCACTTTTGTTTCCATACTTGTGCTTCAGCGAGGAGGATGAGCCGGCGTTTGCCGACGACGGTGATCTCTCGGAATTTGCGCAGTACATGATGGAGGAGGGGTTTGATCAAGGCGAGGTTTCGCAGCGGCAGGCGGCATCCAACGCGATTGTGGCGCTTGTCAAGGGTAACAAAGACTTCCACGAGGACTGCTTGCAGAGGGTCATTGACTTCCTCATAGCGGGTCTCTCGCGCGAGGACAATGATGAGACGTTTCCGCAAACGTTTGGCTATCTGCATCTCTTATCGGTGCTGAGACGCCACTTACGGCGCGTTCCTGAGATCTGGGAGACGCAAATGGCGCAGGTGCTTGTTACATTTGTGACCCCGCGCCTTGCACCCACCGTTCCCTACGCCCCGCTGCGCTGCAAAGCCCTTGTGGCGTGTCAGCGGTATTCCAAGGCCCCCATCCCTGCCGAGGCTGACTTTGCTGCCTTCACACAAATAGTCTCCTCCCTAGTGCAGGATGGCGATTCGCGAATTCGGCTGGGCGCCATTGATGCCCTTTGCACCTTCCTGGAGATGAAGCGGGCACTTCCGTACATTCGGCCAATCCTTGTGCCGCTGGTGGAGGAATGCATTAGTTTCCTTAACCGCGTGCAAACCTCCTTTGTGCCCACCGCCCTGCTTTACCTGGTGGAGCACTTCGCGCCCGAACTCATTTCCGTGCTCGGAAAAATTGGCAAGACGCTCGTGCAACACTTTTTGGCAACGGCATTTGACCTGGCGCAGCAGGAGGCCGCGATGGAAGACGAGCACTTATCACAGTACTGGCGCACAGAGCTGAGTGCCTGTGCCTTGTTGAACGCATTGAACACCATCGTCCAGGCCTCACGTCACCATATGGAGGTTTTCTGTAGCCTGAGGCCTGACCTGCTGTTATTGGCGAAGAACGTTTTGGAGCATCCTGACGATTTTGAATTTATCGAAAATACGCTCGCGATTTTGTTGAATGTCGTCAATTTTTCTAAGCCTATCCCACCGGAGTGCTGGGATGTGCTTCCCTTGCTGTTTCAGTCCGTTGACTCCGGTGTTGGCGTGGATTTTTTCGTTGCCATTGAGGAGGTGCTTGACAGTTTCATCTCAAACGGGACGGCAGAGTTTCTGCAGAATGCCCAGCTGATGGAGGCAACCTACCAGGCCTGCGAGAAGGTGCTGTTCCACTGCCTCGCCGGCGTCGAAGATCAGATCGCCGTGCCCCAGTTGATTGAGGCGATGCTGCATCAGGCGAAACACGCAGAGGCGGCACCGGGCCTGTTTGACGCGCACCTCCCCCGCTTCGTCACCTTGCTTCTGCGGGCCCTCGCAGACGACTCCATTCGCCAAGGCGAGGTGCGGCTGCAGATTTGGATCATTGCGGCATTGATGGATGCCTTTTACTACAATGCCGCAGCAACGCTGCAGATCTTAGCCAGCCGCAACGCCTACCCGCAGTTTTTCGATGCACTCTTTCATTTCTTTCGCGCCGCCATCCACCCTGCCAAGGTCGCCAAGGGCAGAAAGAAGCGCAAGCATGACGCGGCGAGCGAGGTTGTCGAGAATCTCTCTATTCTAACCCGCAAGGTCATCGTTTTGGGGATGACCGCCCTCCTGGAGCACCTTTTCGCCGACGGCGGAGGCAGCAGTGGGACAAATCTGGCCGCCTTCGACGCCTACCTCTCTCCGACGCTGGCTCTGGTTCAGCACTGCGTCTTCGCCAACGACGTCCTCCTGGCGTCGCGCTGCCGCATTGCAGCGGGCAACTTGGAGAAGGTGCGGCAGGGCGTCGAGGTGGAGGATGTCTGTGACGTGGACCTCGACGACGAGGACGTGCTCGGCGTCGCCAACGGCAGCGACGTGGCGACCACCGACGACGACGACGCCGACGGCGGCAGCGATGACGAGGAATTGGGCGAAGAGGAAATCGGTCACCGTGAGGACGAGGGGGACGACTACGAAAGCCCCATCGACGACGTGTGCGAAGTGACGCTATTTTTGCAGTGGGCCGCAAAGGCGACGTGCCTCGGCGGTGACGTGCAGCGGCACCTTCAAACTGCCCTCTCCAAGTCGCTGCAGGAGTTCCGTGACGCCGAGGCCACCGCGCTGCGCTACCGGCAACTGGTGCAGGAGTTGGACCTTGCGATGGACGCGGAGCACGCCGCCCGCTCCGTCACTGCAGCGACGTCGTAAAGAGGTGCGAAGCGAAGTTTCCGGCAGACCAGGGGACGGAAGACCAGTAGAGGGAGAAACGAATGCGACGAGGAAGTGGAGCAAAGCAGTGGGTAAGTGAGTGAATGAGATATATATATATATATAGAATGAAGGCGAATAAGCGAGTGAGATGTGAGGTAACGAAGCGAAAGCTGGGGTCAGCTCTACTATTCTATGCGACATATATATTTATATATAGCAAAGAGAGATGTGGCCCTACATGAAGGTGAACGCCTGCGTTTAATTAACTGTGATCAACTAAGCTCCCCATTACTGGTTGGAAAGTGTTCGGTTTAAGTTGCGATGAAATGTCGGTATGCATGTGTCTCCGTACCCACCTTGCGCATGCTTCCCCAGCGGAGGTGACTGCTGCTGATCCGTGCATGCGTCGGTTCCTCCTTTTTTTTTTTCCTTTGTTGTTCTTGTTGTTTCCCCTCAGTTCAGCGGAGGAGCAGTTAGTTGCGGAACACCCAACACGCCCACGCACCTCAAGGGACGTGGATATATTCCATTTTGTTTGTTTGTTTTTCCGCGCGTCTCTGTGTGTGTGCGTGTGCTTTGGTGGGCGTGCGTCGTTTCTTTACCGTTTTTGATCCTCTTGGAAGGCGTGGTCCTCAGCGGCGGAACGGTACGCCCAAAAGCAAGGTGCGAGATCACGGGGGTAGGGAGGGAGTGGTGTTAGGGCTTAGCGCCGGTGCGCGAAGGGGCGCGGGGGCGGGGTAGCCGATGGGCAGCGCCGTCACACGGTACAGGGATCACTGGCCGTCAACGCGGTCGAAACTGACGTGCACTAAAGTGCGCCCAGCCAACATAGCAGGCAGGCCGCGATGTCAATCGAAGCCCCCAGCTAACAAGTTGGATAGGTCAAGCGACCCCGCCACGCCCGGCGTCACTGCCGCAACGCGTGGCAGCGGGGGGTGTGTGTCGGCCTCGTTATTCCCAGATAGTGGTAGAAGGCGAAGTATAGATGAGAAGAAGGTAGGGGCGCCGCAGCCACCGCCGGTGCCAGTCTCTAGTTGTCTGATGCCGTCCAAGTATCTACCAAACCCGAGAAAGTTGCCGGCGCAGGGATCCTTGCCACCCGCAAATGGGCAGGAAGAGGCCACGAAGAGTGGCCAAGTATCTCCTTCCATGCAAACCGCGCTTGGTGGAACATCCAGGTCCCCAAGAAGCTCCACTAACACTGGGAAGCGCAGTACCGTTCGTCCCACGTGTGAAACACAGGAGGATGGCAACAGTGGGGGAAACAGTCCGGTGCCGAGAAGGCTGTCTGAAAGGTCCCAAGGGCTCGAGGGGCCTCTTGGAAGTACGGAGGGCGGCTTGGGCCCCAGCGCACCGCCTCAATCCAAGAAGAAGACACCTCAAATGCCTTCCGTCAACTTGTTAGGTGCAAATCTGTCAGAGGATCGGATGCCAAAAGACTTTATGGAGTATATTGCCCAGCACGCCATGCATTTGAGGACGGGTCATGTAGTTTGGTTTAATGGAGACACTGACCGAAGGTTGATTCAACGGCGTGAGCATCGTGGCGTGGTATGGAGTCCATTTGAGGAAATTGCTGTTTCCGAAGTGCCCGAGACGCCGCCCAATGAGGCGGCTGAGAGAAGTCCGGTGGCCCCAGAGGCAGGGAATAAACGAGTCTCGCTACCAACAGAATGCAAACAAAAGTACCAATACAAACCGTATCCACAGCCACAGCCACAGCCACAGCCACAGCAGCAACAGAAACCCACTGAAACTGCCCCACGGCCCCGCACTAGACCTATTCTTTCCGAAGATGTTCCTCACCGCATGCAGTTAGCAAAGAAGGCCCTTGAAGATAATGTCATCTTCATTTACTCACGTACACCGAGACTATACTAATTGATCGAAATGAACTATATGTGCATGTATGTAGAAAAATAGAACAAATTTATAGCGCTTCCACAAAAGAAAAACAAAGCAAAGCAAAATGAAAAATTTTTGGTCAACTTAGCAAATCTTCGAAGATAAAACACAGTGGGAATATTTAGAAGAAAAAAAATAGAAGTATGGAAGTTGGAAAGATGTGCAGTTGTTGCTGTTGTTGCTGGAACGTGCTGCTGTGAAGAGCTGCTGTCTCATTTCGTTCTTTTTTCTACAGACGCACAAGTCTCACTGTATTTATTTTTGCGTGTATTTGTCGTGCATGTTTTTGTTCTTCATTTGTTGTTGTTGTTTTCCTCATTGTGTTTTTTTTCTC